ATTTTTCCTTTCCACCGACGAGCTCCGACGTCGCTCTCTGCTGCACACCCCATCACGTTCCCTAATGCTCTCTCCAGCATATTCCGTCTTCAACCGGAATTCTCGTAAACACCCACGAAATCTTCACGGCATACTCGCACTTCTCGTAACCTGCGAACATCGAGCGGCTAAGGTCGCACACATACACAGCTCTCATTTTTGTGATTAATTCAATTCCCCTTTCTGCTCGTTTCTCGTTTCAAAATCGTTTCAAGGAAGAGGAATTTGTATGGGTACGGTGCCTTGAAGATTTCTGCACATGGGAAATTTCATGTTCTTGTTGTGTCATTAATTAGCCCACTAAAGAATTCTATTGGAGGATATTTTCAGAAATAAAAACTTGCTCTTGCTAATAGTGATCTTAGCACTCCGAAAGTCTCAAAATTAATATCGGTATTGTCACAATTCTTCTTTTTACCTGCTTCTCAATAAATTCCTTTCATGGCTTCAACTGTTCCGAAAATATGGATATTTTTGCAAGTCAATAGCCAATATGTATGAGGGATTTAGCGCCCTTCAAAATGCAAACAAACGTCTCTACAGTTCCAGGTAATTTCAGAAGGGTTCTGGATTTGCAAAACATGCTGCGATCGTTTCCAATTTCATAAACTTGGTAGTGGTCCACTATTTTTGCAGCCTTAATTGAAGGGAACAAGACCTTTCTTTCGATTAGGCTATGTATATCTACGGATTTGAGGGTTGCCAACTGTAAATATTTCTGATCTATTCGGGAGGACCATCCTATTTCTCGATTTCCAATATTTGCTTGAGGTCACTAGCAGCTGCTGTCTACATCGTTTTGTAACTTTTATGGGTTCTATAATTTAATAGATCGACATGGGGTTCGAAATGGTGCGAAAAGTTAGGGGTGGATCATCAGCTGGTGAACGATGTTTTGAATATCCTGAACGGTCTGTAAAAAAAGTTGAACATTAGATGTCGATCCAATCTCTTTAGAATGCGCCACGTATTCGATTTAACTTCAGAATTGTAACGGTATTCGAGTACGATCAATTCTGCGCAACGACTTCGTAAGGCGGCCCGCTGATGATTATGTTTGCGTCTCCAGCCATGTTTTTTGCTTTTACTCGATCCTATATCAACTGGACACTTAAAAATAGAAGGCTTTCTGGCCAGGATTTGATCCCTGACAAGGTAGTAAGTATTTAGGAGCCGCCCCTCGCTGACACATCAAGCTAGTCTTTAACCCTTGAACTACGATTTTCGAATTCGATCCATGAGCTATACACGAATTGCGGCTCCTCTTGTCATTACACTATTTCCTTTTCCTCTCCAATGGAAATTTGGAAATACGTATTGTGAGGTAATTTTCTTTAAAATATGCATTTTGCATTGGTACAAAAACATATATCACTATGTTTCAAATTACCTTTCTTGTGGGTCACACGCACTGGCCAGTGAGCTGCGCTAGGACATGTTTTGGTAACTTCTTCATGATGACTCCTGCTGAAGTGTGATGAATTGATTTCTGAGTACGGATTATAATGCTCTCGAATGAGCACAACTCTGCCTTAAAATGGGCGCGCCTGTTGAAAGGGTAAAATGGGTAGCTTCCAGTAAATCCTGAAAGACAAGATTCTATTCTGGTTTCGGTAATTTCATGTTTGTCAACAACTTTTCAATATCTTTATCAAAGCAAAAATTGGTACCTTGATTTCCACCTTTGATCAATCCGCCTACTGTATTTTCTTCGTTCCGCAAACTTCGTTAAAATTGGCTTCCCAATTTCATTGCCCACTAGCCATATATAGTTTTCAAGAGCCTTGATCGTTTTTTCGTGCACACTATCCATATACGATTTGTTAGCGCAGCCTGATGTAAATGCTACTTATGTCATGTCTTTGCTCTCGATATAGATTCCCACTGCTTTCGGAACTGCAGATTTCATCAATGTTTTCAGATTCTTTCGTCACGGGCTATTCATTCGTAGTTATTTTTGTTCCTCACATTCTTGCATCGTATACCGCGAGGCTCCACACATTTTTCGACCGCTTTTATTTTTGTGCTGTTGTATGTTTCCTATTCTTTCAGGACCCTCCATGAAGGAGCCGTGCTTCCGGTGTAAGCGACCGACATACTTCAATGACAAGGTGAACAAGTAAGGTTCTCAGTGGCGATGACCTCAAACCTGATATTTTGATGAGCATGGCTTCATCCTTTTACAGACAGTTACCATTACATTCCCTGAAGGCAGTGAATGCTAGAAGGAGAAAGTTTCTGGAATGTGCCGTTGAAATGAAATGAGTAAGGTCGTGCTTAAGTGGTGTCCTCAGTAAAGTCAATCCTACGAGGTGAAAATTCATAACCATCTAACCATAAGCATCACCAGAAATCGATACCTCACTTATCATCAGTCATCCTCAGTGCTTACATTGCAACAAGCTGGCCTGCGCGCTGGCTCCTTCTCGTTGCAATCGAGCCGACCTATTGATTTGATCCAGCTATCGTGTCAGGATATCAGGACAGGATTAAGACCAATATTTAACCACCGAAAGCTAGTCGAGCTCGATCGAAATCGAGCTGACATGTGCTGAACAGAAATAGCATCACCTTGGATGTGTCCAGGGATGAACACCAATAATGACTAAATAGAGTTTCTATAGATCTAATACCCTTTATATACATTGACGTATTCTTCAGAAATTTAGAAGCGCTTCAAGTATAGACCACACACCACAACGACCGGCCTCTGCAAAACGTACCTATTTTCTGCCAATGAAATGATTAGCCTGGCAGTTGTGTTCTCACCAACTATCACCTATCACTGTGAACCATTATTTGCAAGATTCACTTGGAGGCCGTCGTCACTTGTGGCGTGTGTTCTGCACTTGTGGAGCTTCTGGTTTTCTGACAGGGGGAGGGCATGTGTAACCTCTGCTCCACTACAGTAATCTGTTCAGATCGGCCCATTGAAAGATGGAGCGCTGTTTCATAAGGGATGCTTCAAGTGTTGGATATGCGGGACGAGGCTTTCACTGAAGACATATCACAACAACCGCAACGACACGCAAGATTTGGAGGTAGGTGGAAATCACTTTCTCCGTTTCCCACATTGATTCTTTTGAAAAAAGAGCATGAATTTTTTTTGTAGCAGATTATTGGTAGGCGAAATTAGCCAGTATTCCAAAACTTACCTTAAATTGATTTTTTTATTAATTAGTACAAATTTACTCTCTATGCACTTCTATGCTCTTGAACGTCGGAAGCGGACGTTCAAGAGCATAGAAGTGAATACTCTATGGCAGCGCCATTTTGTTCTTGTGAATTGTATTTGATTGTGAATTTTTGTGAATTTTTACTCTGAACGGTATAAACGAACCGCAATTCGTGGTAAGCGCACTGAACTTTCTCCGACCTCTTGAGAGCTGAACTCACAGGGAGGCGTTCAGGTGTGCCGAGACTTTTCCAAAACGGGTATTTTTGATCTCGAGCACGCATGTAGAACCACAGAACCATGCTCGTTTGCTCTCTGAATACCAAGAAGGGGGTCCCCAAGTTCGATTCCTCGTGGTGACAAATTTTTGCATTTCGAGTTGACGTTTCAAAATTCGCGCAAAATGGAGTTAGCATGAATAATTAGTACCATATTCATGATTAGGACCGTCAGTAACCCTTACAAATAGACTTTGATTGAAAAACTGGTGGAAAAGTTGTGACATCACATTTGATCGTTTTGATGTCACACCTTTTTACCATTTTTTAATCAAATTTTTTAAGGGTTACTGACGGTCCTAATCATGAATATGGTACTAATTATTCATGCTAACTCCATTTTGCGCGAATTTTGAAACGTCAACTCGAAATGCAAAAATTTGTCACCACGAGGAATCGAACTAGGGACCCCCTTTTCTGGTATTCAGAGGGCCGTTCAGGAAAAATTAACCATGGTTCTGTGGTTCCCGCATGTGCCCCTATATCATGCAAAAACCGTTTTGAAAAAGCTTGGCACACCCTGAACGACCTCCCTTGTCAACTCACACGGTTACTGCAGGCATTCGCAAACAAAAAGCGACCTACACTAAACTGTGCATTGGCTCGACGAAAAATAAAACAATAATGCGTGAACTTTTACGACGAGGAAGCTGCATATCACGCCATCAGCTGCAAAAAAATCATCAGCAAAAGAGGGAGATTGATAGCTAAATATCTTCAACTTCTCCGCTGAACACTTTTTGTCAAAGCCCATCTATGTGCTGCTAATTGGAGTCAACGCGGCACGTTGTGAAGGAGAAGCGAGGGACTACAAATGCTCTGACTCTAGGACTATAGATCTCGACGTGCTCAGTTTAATGGTATTGGATTTCAGTAAAGAAAAATGTGATCAAAAATACGAAAAAGATTTGTTCTTCCACGGCTTTTCTTTAACAAGGTTGTGGGAGGTACTGTAGCTCGAATGGATTAGAGCTTAGACCGCTGATGCAACGCACTGCTGCAATGACTCGAGATTTTTTTGAAATATGAGGGCGCCAAAATTTGGGTTTCAACCCCAGAAGAAAGCTTCCGATTTCTCTGATTTTGATGATCCAATTCCACAAGCTGATGTAGTATTTATGATTCGAAAACAGGGTCACTTACTTTCAATTTACAGCGCTGGCTCAAGTGAATGGTTTTGAGGGAGGTAATTGTATTATTGCATTAATATTATTGTTATTATTGCAAAATTATTAGTGGATGCAATGCTTGCAATCGTTATTACATCTAGTGATAGATGAGCAAGCGGACAAGGATGACAGAAGTA